GGACACCCTGGGACAGTGTCTCACCCCCCTCACAGTGAAAAGCTGCTTCTTAATTTCTAATCTAAATCTCCCCTCTTCTTGTTTGAAGCCATTACCCCTTATCCCATCACTACAAACCCTTGTAAAAACTCCCTCTCCAGCTTTCCCATAGGCCCCCTTCAGATACTGGCAGGCCACAAGAAGGTCTCCCTGGAGCCTTCTCTTCTCCAGGCTGAAGATCTCCAACTCTCTCTGGGGCACTTAGAAGTTTTATAACCAGGCATTCAGATTACACCTTCTCTTACCTTCAAGTGCTTTGGAGAAGCCAATTTATTACAAACCCTGCAATGCAGGCCTAAGAATGCAGCTGAGGGCCAGGCTCACCTCTGGTGACCGCGTCCAGCGCGCAGCCGCAGCCCGTGGCTCCTCCCCCGATGACCAGCACATCGAATTCACCGCCGCTCTGCAGAGCCACAATCTGCTCCTCCCTGCTGGGGAAATGGTCCCTCAGTGGAACCAGCACGGGTTCTGCAGCTCGAACGTGCACAAAGGGACCCTGCAAGGACAAAAAACACCATGTGGGGATCTGTATGTATTGTGTGTGCACACCCCCAAACCACAAGATTTTCTATAGGCACAGAGGTAAACTCAAATAATTCAAATCACTTCACCTGTATTTAATAATATTGTGCTAAAATGCTATGAAGCAACAGAGCTAAAATGATGAAGGGTTAGCACACATTTACTTCATCCTGCCTACCTCAAGACGAGGCTGCACTCACATTACTGCCCACAGGAATAGTTTCCAGGAACAGACTTCTGCTGCGTGGAACGTTGCGGGATGTTTGGGAAGCATTTTCATAAACAGACATGAGGCCAGGCTCTCAACTTGCCACCAAATAAAATCCATCAAAGGACTTCAAGATGAACGTGCATTTTAGGTTTTAAAATTGATTACTTGTACAGTGGCATTCATCTAAGCTCCAGTGTGAAGTGTGACCAGGTTCAGAAGAGGAGGTGGTTCTGTCACATCCACCACTGAGCCACCAGCCAAACACCACTCCCATCTCCTTTTTGGAATCCTTCCAGGCAGAGCCATTTACAACCTCAGAGCATGCCAGCACACAGTGCTCACTGAAGGGACAGAGCTCAGCGATGGGGCAGTCTGCAGAGGAGCTCTGGCTCTCCTGGAACAGCTCTGAGAACCTCCCCAGCACCCAGTGCTGCTCTCCAGCCAGCGCCCATGGTGAGCAGGGCTTGCTCAGCTGCCCACCACAGAGCACAGCTCCAGTGTGAAGGCTTTACCTGCTTTCTGAAGGCTCTCTCCTCTTCACAACAATTTACACTGCATTCTAAACACCTCTACAGTCAGAGGAGTCCCCAAACCCTACGACTGGGGATGTACTTCAGCACCATCACTGCAGGTTCCCACTCATCACACAAATTTAATCCCAGCGAGCTAAATTCACAGGGATTCATTCACAAAACTAGACAGTGAATTTCTCTCACCACTGTTTTTGAAGACCAGAAGGACTCATCTTTTCCACCACAGAAAAGTGTACCTAACTGCACCTGGCAAAGTGCTGCCATTTGCCACCCAAGAAGGGGAGCTGAGGGGCTGGCCACAGAGCCAGAGCACCCGCAGCACAGCCCAGCTTGGCAGCAGGACCCTCCATGACCCCGGGGACAGCCCCTGAGGCAGCTCTTCCAGAAACAACCCCATTTTGGTGCTCTGAATTTTGTTTGATGGGGAGGAATGCTTTCATTAGTACCTGGCCCTTCCAGAGGAACTGTTCTAAGTGCTACAAATTTGAAATGCACCCGTGAAAACAACTGAACACCCACAGTCCTCAGACTAGCACAGAATGAATTGGCCAACTCAGAAAGGATCAAAGCAAACAAACAGGAACTTAAGAATTAACATTTTCAGAGTTTCCTGAAAACTATCAACAACTTCAATGCAAGAAAAACTTGTTTAAACCTGAAAGTCTAAGGTCTGAGCACGACACAGACTTCAGCCCAAATGGCCAATGAAGTGATGTCAAATAGCTTGTGTCCAGATCTCTGAGACAGGAGGGAAGAAATGCATCTCAGTGACAGAGCACAAAATACTGCTCCATCCAAACCAAGCCACCCCTCTGCCCTCTTTCCATCTGCTGCTCACAGAGTGCAGGGAAGCTCTCTCACTTCCATTTTTATTTCCAAACATTCCTTGAATAAACTGAATTGTGCAAGTCGTTCAGTTATTCCTAGAACTTCTCTGCTGATTGCACCACTAACCCAGGGCATGAGTTGCCACAGAAATAGCTGGTGAGCCCAGCCCATGCTCAGACACAGCACCAGCTCCCTGCTGGTTTGGGTCTCAGCAGCCATGGCCCCTGCACGTGTCACAGCCCAGTCACTAAGGGGGGCTGGACTAGAGAAAGAACAATTCACTTTCTAGTCAAGATTTACATCTTCCTGGAAATAAAATGAAAACTAAGGTTTAAAATAACCAAAATTTGGCAAATGATGACTCAAGCTACAGCGTTACCACTGATTTTTCCCAAGCCCAGTGCCTGTGGATTCTGCTGGGGTCTCCCCCAGCCGCATTAAGCGCTCGACCAAACGTGGCCAGGTTTAGCCAGTGACTACAAATGCCCAGTAACGAAAGGTCTCTAATTAGCAGCTTGTTTAAGCCCACGGCAGCCCTCAGACAGACACACACATGCTGCCAGCCCCAGGAGCTCGGGGAGCTGTGTGAGGCACACAGACAGCACAGAGCTGGAGTTGAAGTGAAGCAGAGAGGTGAATCCTGATGAGCCTCCCCCTCCAGCCTTCCCCTCGCTCCCGTGTTTACCCACCAACACGAGCCCGCTGGCAAAGATCACCAGAGGGGCTACAAGGGTCTGGCACTTCAAAGAAACTCACCTTCACTCGTGCTCTGCCCAGCAGATGCTGCACACTCCCACGACAGGCACCCCCTGCCCTGCTCCTGCCCCAGCTGCCTCGCCCCCAGCAGGGTGGAGAACTTCTACAGCCCCCAGGTACAGGGGAACTGGCACAGCCCTAGAGCCCCCTGCTGCTGTTCCACAGCACGCTGTCACAGGGAGTGATGGAGGCAAGGATGGAGACACTGAGAGGATCTACCAACTCCAACCCCCTCTATTCTGCCCTAGTGAGACCACTTCTGGAGCAGTGTCCAGTTCTGGGCTCCTCAGACCAAAAGAGATAAGGAACTGCTGGAGAGAATCCAGTGGAGACTGTGGAGATGCTGAGGGGCCTGGAGCATCTCTGTGATGAGGAAAGGCTGAAAGCCCTGGGGTTGTTCAGCTGGAGAAGAGAAGACTGAGAGGAGATCTGATCAATGCCCATCAATATCTCAAGGGTGAGGGTCAAGAGGCTGGGGCCAGACTCTGGTCAGTGGTGCCCAGGGACAGGACAAGGGGCAACGGGCACCAACTGGAACCCAGGAGGTGCCACCTGAGCAGGAGGCGAAACTTCTTTGGCGAGAGGGTGGCCGAGCCAGAGGCTGTGGAGTCTCCTGCTCTGGAGAGATCCCAAACCCACCTGGATGTGACCCTGGGCACCCTGCTGGGGGTGAGCTGCTGGAGCAGGGGTTTGGATGAGATGATCTCCAGAGGTCCCTTCTGATCCCCACCATGCTAGGGGTCTGGGATTCCTGCCCTCACTTCCCCCTTGAATATCTGAAAGGTGTGACAGTGCTGCAGCTCTCCAGGTTGCACAGCAAGTGCTGCTGCCTGGCCTCCCCCACGCTCTCCAGTTTTTCCTTGGTAGCTGCTGCATTAAGTGTGGTTTCAGTGCTGTGTCAGCACAGAGAGCACAGACAGGCAGCTGGTGACCATCTCCCAGCTCCCTGAAACAGCACCCTGTGACTTGGAGACAACAGGAACACGAAATCAGCAGTGAAGACCAGAACCACCCATGGCTTAGCCTTGTATGTGCTTTGGTTGATCAAGCTCAGCTACAGGCACTCAGCTTTCTTAAACTTTAAAGAAGGGAAAGTCCCCACCTCAGAACCAGCTCTGGAAGAGTGCTGTCCCCAGACACACCTTGCTCAGCAGAGCCAGGACTCTTCCCACAGCACGCAGCTTCACCTCAGCACAACAGGAGGATGCAAGAGAAACAGAACTCCCAGCTCAGGCAGTGCTGGTGCCACTGGGCTTCCACTCTGTTTTCTGTTTGTTTTGAGGAGGTGAGGTGCCCCCAGAGCTGCTGGGGCAGAGGCATGAGCAGAGGGGCGTGGGCAGTGCCCTGGGAGCTGATGGGCACCACCCATCTCACTGCCAGCTCGAGGTGAGGGGGAAGAGGAGCTGCACCCAGGGACCCCCTCTGCAGCAACATGACTGCCTTGGCAGTGAACAAGTGTGTCTGCTGAAATAAGCAATTGCTGTTTATATCTACAGCTTCCCAGGCAAGAGTTCCTTGAATGGTTTTGATTACGCTCTTAGCCAGAAGAAATTTGGGTTGGCAGTTGGAATTCAATCATGAAGTTATGAAGGGATCTGGTAAGCCATAAGCAAGTGTTCCTGTTAATTTGCTAATGTAAATCTCCAGGTAGGTTTGCAGAGTCAAATTCATCATCCTTAATCATTTGGAAAAAAAAAAAAGGATGTAATTAAAAAGAAACCCAAAGCAGGCCCTGATGAGTTATTGTACTGTCACCCTCTTCTCAGATCCACCTTGGTGAGCAGTTCCTGCTGAAAAGAAACAGGATTGCCCGGGGGGCTCAGTTAGGAGGAGACAAACCCTGACAACTCCAGACCAAAGCAGGGCTTACCCTCAGGGATTACAGGGAGAGGGGAAAAAAAAAAATCATCAATGGTCTCCAATTCAAACTTGGCCCCTCAAGGAACACCCACATCCTACCCAGTGCCTGCCCACACGGTCCCACACGTTGAAATAAAGGCACAAAAAGCACAACTACAGCAATTCTGTGTGAACTGTGTTCAGGACCATCCACAGAATCATAAAATTGTTCTGGTCAGAAGAGATTTAAAGATCATCAGGTCCAGTCATTACCCCACTGCCCCGTGTCCCTCACACCACATCTCCATAGCTTGGAAACCCCTCCAGGGGTGGGGACTCCACCACTGCCCTGGGCAGCCTGGCACAGCCCTGGGCAACCCTCAAGGGGAAGAAATTGTTCCTCAGGGGCAATCTCAACCTCCCCTGGCACAACTGGAGGCTGATTCCTCTTGTCCTGTCCCTTGTCCCTTGGGAGCAGAGCCCGACCCCCCCCTGGCTCCAGGCTCCTGTCAGGAGCTGTGCAGAGCCAGAAGGTCTCCCCTGAGCCTCCTTTGCTCCAGGCTCAGCACCCCCAGCTCCCTCAGCTGCTCCTCCCCACACTTGGCCTCTAGACCCTTCCCCAGCTTCGTTGCCCCTCTCTGGCCATGCTCCAGCCCCTCCAGATCCTTCTTGCTCTCTAGAGCCCAAAGCTGACCCCAGGATTCAAGGGGCAGCCTCCCCAGTGCCCAGTCCAGGGGGATGATCCCTGCCCTGCTCCTGCTGGCCACACCAGTGCTGATCCAAGCCAGGATGCCCCCTTACCTTCAA